AAAGGGATTCGCCTTCTTCATGATCTGGAAGAAGGGAATTGCCCTGTCTGCTAGTTTTGACATGAATCGGCTCAGGGCCACCAATCTCCCGGTGAGGCGTTGTACGTCCTTCAGATTTCTCGGGGCTTCCATATCCACTATTGCTTTCACCTTCTCTGGGTTAGGCTCGATTCCCCGCTCACTCATCATGTAGCCGAGGAATTTGCCGCCCCTGACGGCAAAAGCACATTTCTTTGGATTGAGCCTCATGCTAGCCCCCTCCATGATGGTGAAAATCCTCTCCATGTCCCGAACGTGGTCTTCCTTCTTCTTGCTTTTGATCAGGATGTCGTCCACGTAAGCCTCCATGGTCTTTCCCAGTACATCTTTGAACAACATCCCGATCATCCTTTGGAAAGTGGCCATGGCATTCCTCAGGCCGAATGGCATGACCACATAACAGTACACGCCGTCCGCTGTGACGAACGCCGTTTTCTCTGCATCATCAGGGTGCATGAACACCTGATGGTAGCCTCTGAACGCGTCCATGAAGCTGAGCAGTTCGCAACCCGCCGTTTCGTCTACGAGCAAGTCGATCCTCGGCACCGGATACGGATCCATCGGGCAGGCCTTGTTGAGATCCGAGTAATCGACGCACATCCGCCACGTATCGCCCTTTGGGGCTAACACCACGTTAGCTAGCCACTCCACGTGGATGACCGGCCGGATGTGCTTGATGCTGAGGAGCGTGGCAGCCTCCTTCTTGATGAAATCTCGCCGCTCGGCTGCCATGTACCTCTTCTTCTGTTGGATAGGTTTGGCATCCGGTCGTACGGCGAGTCTGTGGCATATGAGGTTGGGGTCTATGCCAGGCATGTCCTCCGGCCCTCTGGCAAATAGGATTTTGAACTTCCGGAGGATGGCTATGACCCCCTCCTTGATCTCAGGTTCTAGATCGGCCCCGATGGACACCTTCCTGTCCGAAGGATCATCCAGTTCCACCTCCTCGAGCAGGGCAGCCGGTTCCAGACGAGCATCGAAGTCAGCCTGCCTGGCTTTCTCAGTGATGCTGTTGACCCGGGCTTCTCGCTCTCTGAACCTCTCCATGGCCTTGGTGTAGCAGGCCCTGGCCATGTGCGGATCCGTGCGGGCAACCCCCACCCCTGTCTCGGTGGGGAACTTGATGCATGAGTGCCGCACGGAGCAGATGGCTTCAAGATCCTCCAAGCCGGGTCGGCCCAAAATTGCGTTGTGAGCACATTTTAGGCGGACCACGACGAACGTCATCCGGATGCGGGTGGTGTGAGGTCCATCCCCGATTTCAACCGGGAGGCCGATGGTGCCTTCCGCATCGATGCAGTCCCCTGTGAAGCCGGAAAGAGGGGTACGTAGGGGGGGCCAGCTGATCCTTCCTCAACTTCATTCCCTCGAACGCCTCCCAATAGAGGACGTTCACGCTGCTTCCCGTATCAACAAGGACGCGTCGGACGATCGCATTGTTGACATCCATGCTGATCACCAACTCATCCCTGTGAGGGGCTGGTGACATCGGCAGGTCGGCCGGTCCAAAGGTGATGGCCTCCACCTTGTTCTTTTTGGCGAGGGGTGCTGATATGGAGCCCACATAGAGGGATCTTTCAAACTTCTTCCGTTCCGCAGGCGTGTCCCCCGTCTCAGCGCCCCCAAAGATCACTTTGATCTCCAACTTCTTCTTTCCGCCGTCCGGGCCGAGGGACCCCTCCGGACGTTTGTCAGCACTCCGGTAGTCTGCGTCCTTCGGTTCCGCCTCGCGCCGATCGTCGCGGCGCCATGATCGTGATCTCGGGTTCGGCTGCCTTGGGCTATTCTTCTTCAGTAGTTGGGTGAACTCGCCCAGGTAGCCCTGCCGGATCAGTTCGTCGATGGCCATTCTCAACTGCTTGCAATTGTCGGTGAGGTGGCCGACCCTCTGGTGGTATTCGCAGTATGCGGTTTCGTCAAGACCCATACGCGCTTTTTTGTCTTGGGGCTCCCTCAGGATGCCCTTGTCTTTGATGGCGTCGAAAATCTGACTGACGGGGTAGGCCAGAGGAACGTGATATTCCTCCGGATGTACGCGGCTGGCCTCCGGATGAGCCCTCCACGGAACCATGCCGCCGTCCGTCTTCTTCTTTTTGCTCGGGGGGGATGGTCCGCCTCCAGGGCCGAGCCTGTCCGCCAATTTTCGGAGAGGGGCTGCAGGAGCGCCGTCCCTCAATCTGATCTCCTCCTCAATGGAGGCATACTTCTGCGCCCGAGCCAGCACCTCAGTGTAGCTGGTGCTGGGATTCCTTCGAAGGTCTCGGTATAGGTCCCCCGTCGCCAGAGCACTGGTGAACAGATTCACTCCTAGCCGTTCGTCCAGGTCGTCCACCTGGAGTACTTCGTCTCTCCACCTGACCAGGAATTGGGCCAGAGGTTCGCCCCTTCCTTGCTTCACACTGGTGAGCGACGTGAAGCTCTTCTTGGGGGTGGTGCTGGCAGCGAATTGGGCCATGAACTGCTGGGACAGCTGCTCGTAGTTGTCAATAGATCCGGGCCTCAGCTGCCCGAACCAGTCCTGCGCTGGCCCCCTCAGGGTGCTGAAGAAGAGCCGGCAGATAGCCTCATCCGAGGCCCCCAGCATGGAAAGGTTCCCCTGGAAGCTGATCAAGTGAGCCTTGGGATCCCCGGTCCCGTTGTATACTATCCCCTGGGGGGGTCTGCAGTCCCGCGGGATCTCTGCATTCATGACCCTTGGAGTGAAGGGTGAAGTGAGGGAGAAACGCGGCGTAGCTGGGATGGCCTCCGCCCGTCTGTCCATTTCGGCTATTCGCCGTTCCATTGCCTCTAGCCGGGCCTCCTGTGCGGCCCTTCCGGGGGACACAGGAGGGGCGGCCTCGAGCGCAATGTTCCTTCGAGGGACAACCGCGTCGGGTTGCCTCCGGGTAATATGGGCACCATGCCTTTGGAAACGTCGTCCAATATTACTGGCAGCGGGGGCAATGGTGGTGCCCTGACGTTCTGAGGGAACGTCCGGCGTACGCCCCCGATGATCGTCCTGCCAACCATACCGAGGGGTGCTGGTGTTAGTGTGCCCCCCAGCTTCGTGGGAGGACGGATTTTGACCCAACCTCATGTGGATGGGCGTCCGACGCCCGGCAGATTCCACTGTCTCGTCCAGGGACTGCATGTGGTGGATAGGTGATATGGGCGTCCAGATGGTGTTAGCTGAATACACCTCTTCGTTCGCCTCCTGTTCGTCCGCCATTCGGCGCATTGTTTCTGCCAGCTCCCTCATGAGTCGAGGGTCATGCCTGGCCTCATGGGGGATGAGGTTTGTGAGGCCACCCTCACCCCCAGCCGTCCCCAACGTCTCGGAGCGTTCTGTGGTTTGCCCGCGGTTGCTTCGTCCGCGGGACAGCTGCTCGGAGAGGTCGCGTTGGCGGTTGTTTCTTGTCATCGTGCTTGCTGCGGGTAGATTCAGTAGCTGTTTGGGAGAGTTTTTTGGAAACTTTTTGTTCAGTTTCCCACAGACGGCGCCAGTGTTGAGGTTTATTCCTTCAACCCCCGGGTCCAACACGTAAGCCCAAGGATTTCGAATGGAGTGTGTGATTAAACTAGCCCAACAAGCAGATGATATGGATTAGGAAAGCAGTAGGGTAGCAAGTAAATGATTAGGTATTATTATCTCTTAATAACTCCCTAATACAATACTTTTCGCTAAGGCTCCGTCGGCCGTTCGTCTCACAAGACAGTAGAAGTGCTGCCAGTCAGAATGCTATAGCTAGAGTGCTAATAATAGAAAGTTGCCAACCCTTTACAATGAAATAAATGCTTCTATTTATACCCGCCAATGGGCAGGTGGCCATGCTGACGTGGAGGCCTGTGGACCGCTTGTGTCCCAACCACCAAATCTTCAGCATTAAATGCACTTCCCGCCAGAATCTAGGTTTCCCGCCTAAATAATGGGGACGTTCGTCCGCCTGGGAAGTGAACTGGATCACTCCAAGTGACCCTCAAGAGGTTCCGGCTGTTCGTCTCCTGGCCTTGATGGATTCTCACCATGTGGACTGGGTTTCCTCCGATGACTATGGGCTTGCTCAGGAGACGTTCGTCGTTACCCCTGATGGCCCGTGGTCCTGCTCCTTGCCCCTGCATAGACATTCGTCGGGAGGAGCCGCTGGGCCTGAACCCCCAACCCCAGACGCTCGTCCCTTCCCAAGGAGTATGGGCCTGCGGGCTGGCCTCGTGGTCTGACTGGACGCACGTCTGGTGAAGAAGAGGTTAGTGGGCCGGACCTCGGTCTGGACCCTTAACCCAACAGATATAATATAACATGAAATTATTTTGAATATGAAAATTATATTAAAATTTTCCTTATTAAAATAATTTCATAAAAGTATAAAACTTATAAATTACTCCGTATATACAAATATAATAATTAAAATAATTGTTCAAATTTTTCCATCATTGACCAAAAAAATGTTAATCCGGCAAATCTTTGTGGGACGGAGGGATTATAAGTTTTTTATATTTTGACTTTGCACCCCACTTTTAGGTGATATTAGACTTTGCACCCCATTTTCAAAACTCTTAGACTTTGCTCCTCATTTCCTCTAAAATGTCTTTACTTTTGCCCCCCATTGAGGAAATTTTCTTCACAAAATGTTGTAGATAGGGTGCAAAGTCTAAAAGTTTTGAAAATAGAGTGCAAAATCAAATATCAATCAAAAAGTGGGGTGGAAACTCAAAATTCCCCTTTTTTATATGGTCTAGTGGTGGGATCAATCTGCTCTTGGTCCGGATATTAAACGTGAAAATTACTATTAACATTTCAGGTTATGAGAATTGAATTAGTGGTAATTACCCGTTAGAACCACTTCTGTGTATAGTATTTCATTTATGTCCTAGTACATTTTTTCTTTCACTTCCCAACTTTTCCCTTTTCATTTAATCTTTTTATTATTTCAAATATAGCTTAAACCACCGGCTCATCCCCACTCTCCGTCTCTCTCTCTCAGAAATCGTCCTCAGTCTCAATCTCTGCTTTGGCCCTGCGTTTACAGTCTTCACTCTACGGCAGACGAATGCTATTTCAATGGCAGACAAGGAGTCACCGCCGTTGCTCTCCCTGCTAGCACGCATCCCGCCGTCGGCACCCTGCGGTCGTGCATCCCATCTCTATCAGCCGATTTATGCTTTGATCGCCATCGTCCACCAGGTCTGTCACTCATCTTCATCCCCTTCTTCCAAGTTGTGAGTCATCTCTCTCAAAATCATCGCCGCCTTCTTCCAGATTGCAAAAGGTTAGAAAACGACGATGATCGAATTCATTCTGAATTGTAACGCTCTCAACCGGTGTAACATCTTCCCCACAACCCTAATTGACCATCGTAATGGATTTTTTCCTCGACTAGTTGGTTAAATTCAAAATAAGGTTCTACTTTCCGAATTATAAAGCTTTGAGAAGCATTTTCAATACATGTCATTTATGATTCCACGATTTTTTTTTAAATCTCAAATTGGCTCATCCAGGCTCGCAATATTTGTTTTTTTTTTAAATTTTTAGAGGAAAAGTCTATTCAACTGCAGTAGTGAGAGAGGAGAAGAGTTTATTCACACAATGACAAGAGGAAAAACGAACTAATGTATCAAACTGAAGAGACTATGAAGCTATCGTTATTGGTGTTTCATAGAGGTGATCATTTATCTGAATATTTCTATAGATTGCTTTTACTTCTATTTTATTCACTGATAATTTTGTGATTTTTTCTTGTCTAATACTATGAATGTTTTGCATCCACTCAATTTCTCACCTTAATTTGTAACCAGATCAAATGGAAGCCCAACAGATGAAATTCCATGGAAAATGAGAGCATCAATTCTCTATTCTGTTCAAACACATCATGACGTGCTAAGTTCTATAGTAGTTTGCCAATATGAGTGCAGTATTTTCACAGCAGGCCGGTGATTTTGCAAGTTTCATAGGATTAGTTCATACGTAGTACATGGAAGTTTTCGAGGTTGGATCCTGTCTCTAGCTTCTATATCCATGAACATGTGCTCTTCATTTGTGTTACTGGTTATAGGCTATTTTAATTAATAAGTGTTTGCTTTGAACCTCACCTATGCTGTTAACATTCTACGCAACTAACTTGTAATGGGGATAATACACATTATAGACTTAATTACATTTATTTTTCATTTTCTTCCAGATTGTGAATGATATTAGTATATCAACGTCCTCCAATAGAGTAGCTTCTTGTGATAAGATTGTACATGTTTGAAATGGACAAACTGGGAAGGCTTGTGTTTTAACTTAGCTTCTTGTGATAAGATTGTACATGTTTGAAATGGACAAACTGGGAAGGCTTGTGTTTTAACTTGTAACCAGATATAATTTGCAGCTGGATATTTGTTTGTCAGAGACTTCATGCACAAGGGATGAAGGGATGTAACTTACTCCAATCTATGAAATATCAATGGTCCCAGATATCTCTTTTATAATATATTTTCCTGAAATTGAGACAAAGGGAATGACTTCAGTTTTGTTCGTGCTAATTCCTATTACTTGCTCCCTTTTTCAGTTCACATGTAAATGTACCAAAAACAAGTTTATTTATATCCTTTTTAATATTCTTATATTATAATTAAAATTCTGGTTATTAATGTGGAGAATAAGTTTCAAAATTTATTCATTGAATACTATAATATGTTACTTTTATTTTTTATTTTTTGTTGCTTTTTGTTTCATCGTGTAACTATTTGTTGCGCCTTATGTGTTGCTTTTTTATTCTTTTTGTTGTATCGTGTAGCTTTTTGTTTATTACTTTTAATATTTAATTTAGTTTTTGTTTGTTCATGTTTATGTATGTTTGACCATTTAGTTTTATTTTTTTTGTTTACAGTAACTCTTTATACATATATGTGTGTGTGCCACTGCGTACATAAATGTATGTATGCACCCACGCATATAATAATAAAGCTACACTTAGGAAAATAAAAAACATAGATAATCATTAAATAAAAAATTGGAAATTTATCAACAAAAGCAACACATTGAAACAACCTGCAACAAAATAACCATAATACGTTTTACTTTCGTTTTATGTTTTAATTTCCTACTTTTTTTTAAGAATATTTTTCCTACTTTATCTAAGAAATGTTATTAAAAGTAATTTTCTAAATCACTTTTCACCCTTTTTAAGGTTTTTAATTTTTTCTGAAGTTGTTTTATTTTTTATTTTTACACAATTTATTACTAAAAACATTTTAGTAACAAAGGAGTATTTTTGTAAAAAAAAATTATTTAACATATTTGTTCATTAGATACTATAATATGTTACTTTTATTTTTTTTATTTTTTGTTGCTTTTTGTTTCATTGTGTAGCTTTTTGTTGCGCCTTATGTGTTATTTTTTGTTTCTTTTTGTTGTATCATGTAGTTTTTTGTTTACTACTTTTAATATTTTTTTTTCATGTTCAAGTATGTTTCAACTTTTAGTTTTTTTTTTAATTACAATAACCTCTTTAATTATACATATATGTGTGTGCGCCAATGTGTGCATAAATGTATGATTGCACCCAGACATATAATAATAAAGTTACACTAATGAAAATAAAAAAAACAATAGAAAACATAAATAAACATTAAATCAAAATTTGGAAATTGATCAATCAAAAGCAACGCATTGAAACAACCTGCAACAAAATAACCACAATAAGCCTTTGAAATAATAATTAATTTTTTTACTTAATAAATATCAATTAAAAGATTTATACTATTTACATTTTTACAACTTTACAAATTTCTGCCTTTTATTAATTCTAAATTTTCGAAATTTTTATCTAAGAGAGTTTTTTTAAAAATTTTCTAAATCACTTTTCACCCTTTTTAGTGTTTTAAGTTTGTTTAAAGTTATTTTTTTTAGCAATTTAGTTTTTAAAAAAATGGTATTTACACGAATTTTATGTTTTCCTACTTTTTTATTTTTAAATATTACTTCATAAAAATTTATAATTATTTTTATTTTCTAAATTTAATTTTTTGTTAATAAATTTTTAAATAATTTGTAAGATTTTAGATTAAAAATTATACGTTTTTCAATATTTTAGAAATGCTTCGTTTCTTAACATTTATATTTTTTCTTTTATTGAAAAGTCATAAAATATAGAATTTTATAATATATATATATGGTGAGGTTGAACGATGCTTAATGTGGGAATGTGAGAACACTTACATTTAAAGCAATGTGGTGCACAACAGAGCTCTTCTATTGCGCATTTTCAATTTGCTCGATTAAGCCTATAGTAAATAAAAACGGTGGAATTTTGGTAATTGTTGTGAAAACGCGAAAAAGTGCAATACACAAGTTTCATTGTGCAAGACGTTGGGGGTAAATATGGTGTTCTCGTGTTGGGGTAAAAACTCATTTTATTTCGACTTTTGTATTTTTAACTTTTTTGTACTTCCTCCGTCCCGAAAAGATTGACCAAATTTCCTTTTTTGTATGTCCCAAAAAGATTTGTCATTTCCATTTAAAGTAAGGAGCATGTGGCTAAAGTTAATTCTCTCTCCTCTGCCCAAATTTTAACCACACAGTTTTTACTTTATTATTCCACGTGAAAGTCAACTTTGGCCAACCTTTTTGGGACGGAGGGAATCCTTTTTTATATTTCCCTGTTTTTTTAAATCTAAATTTATTTTTAAGATTTTTAAATTCAATTTAAGAGTTCTTCACAAAAAAGAAAATTCAATTTAAGAGTTTTCATTTTTCAACTTCGAGTTTTGTATCGTTCAAGTTTTTATTTTTTTCTTAATTTGAGTATCTTCTGTTTCTCTAGACATTTTTTCCAATTATTTTGAGCTTCTCTACATTTTACTAATTTTTACATTCTTTTATATTTAAAAAACACGAATTGAATGAATTTTAGAGTTTGTATTGGGTATCAAAGTTGGTGTAGCCGTGTAGACTGTAAAGTTGGAACGCATGTGCAGTTTTCGGAATGTACATTCCGGTAGCCGGTAGGAGGCTTTATAGACATTGGCTATTTGTGAAAAGAAAATTAGAATTAGTCTACGTTTGATAGAATTTTTGAAAACTGAAAAAGATGATATTACTTTTACGTTTTGGAGTAGTTGCGAAATTTTCCCATTGAATTAAGGACCGTTGTATTCAACTGGATTTGGATTTTTGGTAGCCCGAGTTCGTTCCACATTCGGGTAGGGCCGCCGCTTATAAAGCAAGAAAGAGAAATCAACACCTTGTCTTTTTATGCTTCAAATTTTATTTTCAAATAATTATTAATCAAAAACATAAATGACAAATCATAACACAAAAATTAGTTTCCCAAATCATCAGCAATTCAGATTCTAACAAAATATTGTAACTAACAATATACTTCGTATTTTATACGTATAGTGTAACCACGCATTCCAGCCCAGCTGGTTGTGAGATTACCGTGTCTAGTGGGAGGTTCAAAACCCGCTAAGCAAATAAGGGTTTGAAACTCAATGGAGTGAGTTTCAGCCCTGATTACTCCAGTTCCCCCCCACCCCCAGACCCCCCTGGAGTAAAAAAAGTATAAATAAATAATAGATTTTTTGCTAAAAATATTAATAAATAATTAACATTTATAGGAAAAAATGTGATTATGATCGACTACTCTATATGAGAACACTTTCATGGTCACTATGTATGGTATTAAAATTGAAGATTGTTGTAGTCACTAAAAATTATTAAGTCATTTATCATCCACCGTGATTATCTTAGTCAGATATTAGGAATTATTTCTAAATTGTATTAATATAATATATTGATTTTTTTTATTAAAGGTAGTTTGTTTTAAGTTTTTATCGGTCCTTACGGGGTTATAAAATTTAAGGACCGTGAGTGAGTCCAATTTTGAGTTTGGTCCGAGTATTTTAATAGATAGAAATATCGGGACATATTTGTAATTCTCTTCTTTTATCTATTTAGTATAAATATACCATCAGGGCTCCCTATTAGGGTAAGCCATTATTCCATAATATTGCATATGGTATTAGTCGCTAGGTTTTCTTTTCCTTCCGCCTAATGTCGCAAGAAACCTATTCTTCGAGCATGACTGCCGCCGCAACAGGCATGCTTACCACCGCAGTCGGGTCATCTACCTCCATACCCACCATTACTTCCTCATCGGTTGGTTCTCACAGCAGTACGGCGCCCACCTTTCCTCAGGCGCAACCATCTTCTTCCCTGGACGTCTCCTCCCCGGCCGCTCGTCGTTTTGGTACGACTCATGATCCCCCTGTCTTGCCGTCAATGGACTCTTACCGCTTGTTTGGCATGCCCACTCCTTTTACGTGGAATCCGTCGACAACCATGCCGCCTTTATTCTCTATGCCGTCACTCAATGCACCGATTGGCCCTCCTCCAGTGATGTTTGGTTCTGCCTCTTCGTCCAAGGTGTTCTCTGCACCTTCGAGCAGTACAATTCCCTCTCTGGCCATGTTCACAGCTTCTACACCTTCTGGCCAGTCGCATATTTCGACTCCTCAGAGTGGTCAGACTCCATCGCCGGTTATGTCCACTGGTAATACCCTCTCTGGCCAGCCCGGTACATCCCTTTTACCGCAGCATCAGTCAGGTCTTCTGCCAGGTAATTCTTTTTTGGGAGCCTTGGCTTCTCAACTGACTTTTTCCACTCCTAACGTGACAAATATTGTCACTACTCGTTTGAAGGCGGTTGAGGACTATCTCCCGTGGCGTACCCAATTCGAATCTTTTCTAGTGTCCCATAGTCTTCTTGGGATTCTAGATGGATCCGTTTTGGCACCGCCACAATTTATTTCTGACACAATTCGGGGGGAGGGTCCTAATCCTGAGTATCATTCCTGGCTTAAGATTGATCAAACTGTCCGGTCATGGCTCTTTGCTACTTTGTCTCGAGAAATTTTAATGGAAGTATATCATTTGAAATTTTCTGCAAATATTTGGGAGTGTCTCGAAACACGCTTCATGTCTGCATGTCTTGCCCGGTCTCTTGAGCTTAAACGTCAGTTGACTCACATTAAGAAGAAGATAGGAATCTCAGTCCATAGATCAATATTTGTTGGAAGTTAGATTATTGGCTGATAATCTTAACTCTATTAATTCCCCCGTGAGCAACCGTGATTTAATTGAATACACCATCAATGGTTTGGGACCGGATTATGAGTCTTTGATTTCGATTATTTCCTACATTCCGGGTAATGCTACTATTGAGTCATTGCGGCCCATTCTTCTCGCTCAAGAGCAGCGAAATCAGTTTCTTCGGTCCCATGAGGCTACACCAGTTCATCAAGCTTTTGTGGCTGCTCCAACGGTTGTCCAGAGAGGGGGTGCCCCTCTAGCAGTTCGTGGACAAGGGGGTCGAGCTTAGGCAGGACGTGGCTACCGCGGAGGTCGCGGTCGTGGGCAGCGTGGTCGAGGTCGCGGGTATGGTGCTCCAGTCCAGCATCAACAGGCA